CAACACATGGTGTACCGTAACACAACAACACATGGTGTACCGTAACACAACAACACATGGTGTACCGTAACACAACAACACATGGTGTACCGTAACACAACAACACATGGTGTACCGTAACACAACACATGGTGTACCGTAACACAACAACACAAGGTGTACCGTAACACAACACATGGTGTACCGTAACACAACACATGGTGTACCGTAACACAACAACACATGGTGTACCGTAACACAACACATGGTGTACCGTAACACAACACATGGTGTACCGTAACACAACACATGGTGTACCGTAACACAACACATGGTGTACCGTAACACAACAACACAAGGTGTACCATAACACAACACATGGTGTACCGTAACACAACACATGGTGTACCGTAACACAACAACACAAGGTGTACCATAACACAACAACACATGGTGTACCGTAACACAACACATGGTGTACCGTAACACAACAACACATGGTGTACCGTAACACAACAACACATGGTGTACCGTAACACAACAACACATGGTGTACCGTAACACAACAACACAAGGTGTACCATAACACAACACATGGTGTACCGTAACACAACACAAGGTGTACCGTAACACAACACAAGGTGTACCATAACACAACACAAGGTGTACCATAACACAACAACACATGGTGTACCGTAACACAACACATGGTGTACCATAACACAACGACACTAGGTGTACCGTAACACAACACATGGTGTACCATAACACAACGACACTAGGTGTACCGTAACACAACACAAGGTGTACCATAACACAACGACACAAGGTGTACCGTAACACAACACATGGTGTACCATAACACAACACAAGGTGTACCGTAACACAACACAAGGTGTACCATAACACAACGACACAAGGTGTACCGTAACACAACACAAGGTGTACCGTAACACAACACAAGATGTACCGTAACACAACACAAGGTGTACCATAACACAACGACACAAGATGTACCGTAACACAACACAAGGTGTACCATAACACAAGGTGTACCGTAACACAACACAAGATGTACCGTAACACAACACAAGGTGTACCATAACACAACGACACAAGGTGTACCGTAACACAACACAAGATGTACCGTAACACAACACAAGGTGTACCATAACACAACGACACAAGATGCACCGTAACACAACACAAGGTGTACCATAACACAAGGTGTACCATAACACAACACAAGATGTACCGTAACACAACACAAGGTGTACCATAACACAACGACACAAGATGTACCGTAACACAACACAAGGTGTACCATAACACAAGGTGTACCGTAACACAACACAAGATGTACCGTAACACAACACAAGGTGTACCATAACACAACGACACAAGATGTACCGTAACACAACACAAGATGTACCGTAACACAACACAAGGTGTACCATAACACAACGACACAAGATGCACCGTAACACAACACAAGGTGTACCATAACACAACGACACAAGATGTACCGTAACACAACACAAGATGTACCGTAACACAACACAAGGTGTACCATAACACAACGACACAAGATGCACCGTAACACAACACAAGGTGTACCATAACACAACGACACAAGGTGTACCGTAACACAACACAAGATGTACCGTAACACAACACATGGTGTACCATAACACAACGACACAAGATGCACCGTAACACAACACAAGGTGTACCATAACACAACGACACAAGGTGTACCGTAACACAACACAAGATGTACCGTAACACAACACAAGGTGTACCATAACACAACGACACAAGGTGTACCGTAACACAACACAAGATGTACCGTAACACAACACAAGGTGTACCATAACACAACGACACAAGATGCACCGTAACACAACACAAGGTGTACCATAACACAACGACACAAGGTGTACCGTAACACAACACAAGATGTACCGTAACACAACACAAGGTGTACCATAACACAACGACACAAGGTGTACCGTAACACAACACAAGTTGTACCGTAACACAACACAAGGTGTACCATAACACAACGACACAAGGTGTACCGTAACACAACACAAGGTGTACCATAACACAACAACACATGGTGTACCGTAACACAACACATGGTGTACCATAACACAACACAAGGTGTACCGTAACACAACACAAGGTGTACCATAACACAACGACACAAGGTGTACCATAACACTACGACACAAGGTGTACCATAACACAACAACACATGGTGTACCGTAACACAACACATGGTGTACCGTAACACAACACAAGGTGTACCATAACACAACAACACAAGGTGTACCATAACACTACGACACAAGGTGTACCATAACACTACGACACAAGGTGTACCATAACACAACAACACATGGTGTACCGTAACACAACACATGGTGTACCATAACACAACAAAAGGTGTACCATAACACAACACAAGGTGTACCATAACACAACACATGGTGTACCATAACACAACAAAAGGTGTACCATAACACAACACAAGGTGTACCATAACACAACACAAGGTGTACCATAACACAACACAAGGTGTACCGTAACACAACACAAGGTGTACCATAACACAACACAAGGTGTACCATAACACAACACAAGGTGTACCATAACACAACGACACAAGGTGTACCGTAACACAACACAAGTTGTACCGTAACACAACACAAGGTGTACCATAACACAACGACACAAGGTGTACCGTAACACAACACAAGGTGTACCATAACACAACAACACATGGTGTACCGTAACACAACACATGGTGTACCATAACACAACACAAGGTGTACCGTAACACAACACAAGGTGTACCATAACACAACGACACAAGGTGTACCATAACACTACGACACAAGGTGTACCATAACACAACAACACATGGTGTACCGTAACACAACACATGGTGTACCGTAACACAACACAAGGTGTACCATAACACAACAACACAAGGTGTACCATAACACTACGACACAAGGTGTACCATAACACAACAACACATGGTGTACCGTAACACAACACATGGTGTACCATAACACAACACAAGGTGTACCGTAACACAACACAAGGTGTACCATAACACAACGACACAAGGTGTACCATAACACTACGACACAAGGTGTACCATAACACAACAACACATGGTGTACCGTAACACAACACATGGTGTACCGTAACACAACACAAGGTGTACCATAACACAACAACACAAGGTGTACCATAACACTACGACACAAGGTGTACCATAACACTACGACACAAAGTGTACCATAACACAACAACACATGGTGTACCGTAACACAACACATGGTGTACCATAACACAACAAAAGGTGTACCATAACACAACACAAGGTGTACCATAACACAACACATGGTGTACCATAACACAACAAAAGGTGTACCATAACACAACACAAGGTGTACCATAACACAACACAAGGTGTACCATAACACAACACAAGGTGTACCGTAACACAACACAAGGTGTACCATAACACAACACAAGGTGTACCATAACACAACACAAGGTGTACCATAACACAACACATGGTGTACCATAACACAACGACGCAAGGTGTACCGTAACACAACACAAGGTGTACCGTAACACAACACAAGGTGTACCATAACACAACACAAGGTGTACCGTAACACAACACAAGGTGTACCATAACACAACACAAGGTGTACCATAACACAACACAAGGTGTATCATAACACAACACAAGGTGTATCATAACACAACACAAGGTGTACCGTAACACAACACAAGGTGTACCATAACACAACACAAGGTGTACCATAACACAACACAAGGTGTACCGTAACACAACACAAGGTGTACCATAACACAACACAAGGTGTACCGTAACACAAAACAAGGTGTACCAGCCTACCAGGAGCTACGGGAAGGCTCTCAGCCTGTTAACAGGAATCAGACCTGGTCTATACCCACCCGTGTCAAGAACAGGGGCACTTGTACTCGAGTTAGAGCAACAGATGCACTTGTACTCGAGTTAGAGCAACAGATGCACTTGTACTCGAGTTAGAGCAACAGATGCACTTGTACTCGAGTTAGAGCAACAGATGCACTTGTACTCGAGTTAGAGCAACAGATGCACTTGTACTCGAGTTAGAGCAACAGATGCACTTGTACTCGAGTTAGAGCAACAGATGCACTTGTACTCGAGTTAGAGCAACAGATGCACTTGTACTCGAGTTAGAGCAACAGATGCACTTGTACTCGAGTTAGAGCAACAGATGCACTTGTACTCGAGTTAGAGCAACAGATGCACTTGTACTCGAGTTAGAGCAACAGATGCACTTGTACTCGAGTTAGAGCAACAGATGCACTTGTACTCGAGTTAGAGCAACAGATGCATTTGTACTCGAGTTAGAGCAACAGATGCACTTGTACTCGAGTTAGAGCAACAGATGCACTTGTACTCACCTTGAGTTAGGAGGAAGAGCAGGACGAGGAGGAGGAACGTCCCGCGACGGGCCTCCAGCATCCTGGTGGCGTGGAGGAGGAGCCAAGCCAGTAGATCACGATGGCTCAGTGCGTGTGTGTTGAGAGGTCGACGCACAACAGGTCACACACAGGCAATTTAACAGTAGCCTTATTATCACTCGTTATAACTAGCTAAGCCGGCCAGCGTCACTAAGCAAGCCACTCACTATACCTCTCACAGGCCAACGTCACCGCCCGCCTTAGGCTATTATATTCAATTTGATTTTTCTCTGTTGAATTTAAATTACATTTTTTTTCATTCAAGATTTAAACATTATCAGCACAAATTATATCTAAAAATAAACAGATTATCTATATACATATATATACGCAAAGCGTATATATATATATATATATATATATATATATATATATATATATATATATATAATCTGTTTTCACTGAACACTTTCCATCTGTGATATTCAATATAATTCTAAGAGAGCAGCACCTACACTCACACAAGAAACACCACAATAACCGCTCTGGTGATGGCTAGCAGCCCCCGCCCCAGGCGTGAGAGGAGGGGCAGGAAGGGGGCGCTCACCCCCCCTCACACCAAGGCGCTAGTTCCATCACTTGCCTTACAGTTATCCTCCCCTTGTCCCTAGTCACCAGCAGACGCGATCTGCAACAGAAAACATCAAGGTAAATTATCCTGTGAGTACAATGTTGGTAATCAACAAAAGAATAAATCTACAAGGGCCGTGACGAGGGTTCGAACCTACGTCCGAGAGGACATATGTGTGTAATGAAGTAAGGGCGAAGAGATAGAACAGCTTATTGACAGAGCCCGGGTGCATGGAGGCATTGTGTAAAACCCTGGTTTGTGTCTCGGAGAGGCTGCAGGATACGAGAAAGTTCAGTAGAACTTCCCGTTGCAATTCTTTTACCATGTTGTAGCTCAGTCGATTAAGGCAGCGTCTGGGATCTTCTCGGACGTAGGTTCGAATCCTCGTCACGGCCCCTAGTGGATTTCTTCATTTGATGCTTCACGCTATTGTGATTTCTGTGTGTAGTGTCAGTAATCATATCTTGAGAGAATATTTTAAAATAAAATAAAAAGATAAGGCAAATCATTTCTAGGTGGAATAGCGTAAGTACATAGTGTCGACGTGAAGACTTTAACGATAAGGTCAAGCTTTCCGCTCGTCGAGGAAATGCGCTGAGACAATGCGCTAAGTCTTATTACCTTTTTCCACTAGATTAATGCTTCAAGGTCAGGCTTATCCTTTGATAATAACAATGAAGACCAGATTCACATATTCTTAGACAGAGGATTTGCTTATTTCCCTGCCTTATTTAGGTTAGTGGTTTCGATTAGGTAATGGGAGATTAATAGGCAAATTTCTTACAGGTGTTTGATTGATAACGAGAGTAGCTTGCCCACTTTCAAAGCCTTTCCTTTACTTTTAGCTTTATAATTCAAGTTAATCACTGTACGAGCACGATAAGATATTCGTACAGTCTACCTTGCGTACAGTCTACCTTGCGTACAGTCTACCTTGCGTACAGTCTACCTTGCGTACAGTCTGCCTTGCGTACAGTCTACCTTGCGTACAGTCTGCCTTGCGTACAGTCTACCTTGTGTACAGTCTACCTTGCGTACAGTCTACCTTGCGTACAGTCTACCTTGCGTACAGTCTGCCTTGCGTACAGTCTACCTTGCGTACAGTCTGCCTTGCGTACAGTCTACCTTGCGTACAGTCTCCCTTGCGTACAGTCTACCTTGCGTACAGTCTACCTTGCGTACAGTCTGCCTTGCGTACAGTCTACCTTGCGTACAGTCTACCTTGCGTACAGTCTACCTTGCGTACAGTCTATCATGCGTACAGTCTACCTTGCGTACAGTCTACCTTGCGTACAGTCTACCTTGCGTACAGTCTACCTTGCGTACAGTCTACTTTGCGTACAGTCTACCTTGCGTACAGTCTGCCTTCCGTACCTTCACCTGGCGTACAGTATACCTTGCGTACAGTCTACCTTGCATACAGTCTACCTTGCGTACAGTCTACCTTGCATACAGTCTACCTTGCGTACAGTCTGCCTTGCGTACCTTCACCTGGCGTACAGTCTACCTTGCGTACCTTCACCTGGCGTACAGTCTACCTTGCGTACAGTCTGCCTTGCGTACCTTCACCTGGCGTACAGTCTACCTTGCGTACCTTCACCTGGCGTACAGTCTACCTTGCGTACAGTCTACCTTGCGTACAGTCTACCTTGCATACAGTCTACCTTGCGTACAGTCTGCCTTGCGTACCTTCACCTGGCGTACAGTCTACCTTGCGTACCTTCACCTGGCGTACAGTCTACCTTGCATACAGTCTACCTTGTGTACAGTCTGCCTTGCGTACCTTCACCTGGCGTACAGTCTACCTGGCGTACAGTCTACCTTGCGTACCTTCACCTGGCATACAGTCTACCTTGCGTACAGTCTACCTTGCGTACAGTCTGCCTTGCGTACCTTCACCTGGCGTACAGTCTACCTTGCGTACCTTCACCTGGCGTACAGTCTACCTTGCGTACAGTCTACCTTGCGTACCTTCACCTGGCGTACAGTCTACCTTGCGTACCTTCACCTGGCGTACAGTCTACCTTGCGTACCTTCACCTGGCGTACAGTCTACCTTGCGTACCTTCACCTGGCGTACAGTCTACCTTGCGTACAGTCTACCTTGCTTACAGTCTACCTGGCGTACCTTTAATAATAAGTGCGAGAATGTATAACAATAAGTATAACGTGTGCGTGCGTGTGTATATGTGCGTGCATGTACTCACCTAATTGTGCTTGCGGGGGTTGAGCTCTGGCTCTTTGGTCCCGCCTCTCAACCGTCAATCAACAGTGACCAACAGCCGTTGCTCCACTGTTCAACAGTCACCAACAGCCGTTACTCCACTGTTCAACAGTCAAGTTCGCTTACCAACCCATCCAGTTGAATCTCATTATTCTTTACTTAAAAGAATTTTTCAGCACCAAAGTTCTTCCCCTTCATAAATTTCGCTAAAAATTAACTTTATTTAAAAATAGAGAGACGAATTAGAGATTTTTTTTTTTTTTTACTCTTGGGCTATTGGGAAGACATTGATTATTTTCTCGTTTCCTTTATGTTACCCGTAAGTGTATAAAGAATGAAAATATTGAAAAAAGTGAAGATGACGAGGTTACTAATTCTAAATTAGGTTAGGTCACTAATAGATTACTAATACAGGTTACTAATACATTTTAAACAAATAATATATGTTTACCTATATGTGTGTGTTTACGTGTATATGTCGTACCTACTCGGCCTAGTATGCAGGCCCCGATTTGCCTAACAGGCATGTTGATTTTCGTTATTTAAAAAAAAATCTTTTTTTAATTAATATTATTATATTAGGAACATGAATTACTTAGTTGCTAGGTAGGGTCATATTTATACGTTAGTTTTAACTCTAATAAAAAATATAAAAAATCATATGCAATATAATTGAAAGTTTTATCATTTCATGTGAGAACGATTTATAATATATAATTTCAGAAAAAATCGGCTTGCTACGCAAATTGAGCTGTGCATATTAGGCCAAGTGCTGCCGTAAGGCTATTTCGTACAACATATGTATATATATATATATATATATATATATATATATATATATATATATATATATATATATATATATATATATATATATATATATATATATATATACATGCGCTGGCGTGTGAGTAAATATAAAACAAACAAATAAGTTCATAAAGTGGAAAGAACTTTAGTGATCAAGGTGTGGGACACAAGGTATGGGACACAAGGTATGGGACACAAGGTATGGGACACAAGGTATGGGACACAAGGCATGGGAAACAAGGTATGGGACACACGGTATGAGACACAAGGTATGGGACACAAGGCATGGGACACAAGGCATGGGACACAAGGTATGGGACACACGGTATGAGACACAAGGTATGGGACACAAGGCATGGGACACAAGGTATGGGACACAAGGCATGGGACACAAGGTATGGGACACAAGGTATGGGACACACGGTATGAGACACAAGGTATGGGACACAAGGCATGGGACACAAGGTATGGGACACAAGGCATGGGACACAAGGTATGGGACACAATATGGGACACACGGTACGAGACACAAGGTATGGGACACAAGGCATGGGACACAAGGCATGGGACACAAGGTATGGGACACAAGGCATGGGACACAAGGTATGGGACACAAGGTATGGGACACAAGGTATGGGACACACGGTATGAGACACAAGGTATGGGACACAAGGTATGGGACACACGGTATGAGACACAAGGTATGGGACACAAGGTATGGGACACAAGGTATGAGACAAGGTATGGGACACACGGTATGGGACACACGGTATGGGACACAAGGTATGGGACACAAGGTATGAGACACAAGGTATGAGACACAAGGTATGGGACACAAGGTATGAGACACAAGGTATGGGACACAAGATATGGGAAACAAGGTATGAGACACAAGGTATGGGACACAAGGTATGGGACACAAGGTATGGGACACACGGTATGGGACGCACGGTATGGGACACAAGGTATGGGACACAAGGTATGGGACACAAGGTATGGGACACAAGGTGTGGGACACAAGGTATGAGACACAAGGTATGGGACACAAGGTGTGGGACACAAGGTATGGGACACAAGGTATGAGACACAAGGTATGGGACACAAGGTATTGGACACAAGGTATGGGACAAAAGGTATGGGACACAAGGTATGGGACACAAGGTATGGGACACACGGTATGGGACACACGGTATGGGACACAAGGTATGGGACACACGGTATGGGACACAAGGTATGGGACACAAGGTATGGGACACAAGGTATGGGACACAAGGTATGGGACACACGGTATGGGACACAAGGTATGAGACACAAGGTGTGGGACACAAGGTATGAGACACAAGGTATGAGACAAGGTATGGGACACACGGTATGGGACACAAGGTATGAGACACAAGGTGTGGGACACAAGGTATGAGACACAAGGTATGAGACACAAGGTGTGGGACACAAGGTATGGGACACACGGTATGGGACACACGGTATGGGACACAAGGTATGGGACACACGGTATGGGACACAAGGTATGGGACACACGGTATGAGACACAAGGTATGAGACACAAGGTGTAGGACACAAGGTATGGGACACAAGGTTCACATTGGGGACAAGATTTTCAGAGCGAGACACAAGGTATGAGAGACAAGGTATGAGACACAAGGTATGGGACACAAGGTATGAGACACAAGGTATGGGACACAAGGTATGGGACACAAGGCATGGGACACAAGGTATGGGACACAAGGTATGGGACACACGGTATGGAACACAAGGTATGGGACACAAGGTATGAGACACAAGGTATGAGACACAAGGTATGGGACACAAGGTATGGGACACACGGTATGGGACACACGGTATGGGACACAAGGTATGGGACACAAGGTATGAGACACAAGGTATGAGACACAAGGTATGGGACACAAGGTATGGGACACAAGGTATGGGACACAAGGTATGAGACAAGGTATGGGACACACGGTATGGGACACACGGTGTGGGACACAAGGTATGGGACACAAGGTATGGGACACAAGGTATGGGACACAAGGTATGAGACAAGGTATGGGACACACGGTATGGGACACAAGGTATGGGACACAAGGTATGGGACACAAGGTGTGGGACACAAGGTATGAGACACAAGGTATGGGACACAAGGTATGAGACACAAGGTATGGGACACAAGGTATGGGACACAAGGTATGAGACACAAGGTATGGGACACAAGGTATGAGACACAAGGTATAGGACACAAGGTATGGGACACAAGGTATGGGACACAAGGTATGGGACACACGGTATGGGACACAAGGTATGGGACACAAGGTATGAGACACAAGGTATGGGACACAAGGTATGGGACACAAGGTATGGGACACAAGGTATGAGACACAAGGTATGGGACACAAGGTATGGGACACACGGTATGGGACACAAGGTATGGGACACAAGGTATGAGACACAAGGTATGGGACACAAGGTATGAGACACAAGGTATGACACACAAGGTATGGGACACAAGGTATGAGACACAAGGTATGGGACACAAGGTATGAGACACAAGGTATGAGACACAAGGTGTGGGACACAAGGTATGGGACACAAGGTATGAGACACAAGGTATGGGACACAAGGTATGAGACACAAGGTATGGGACACAAGGTATGAGACACAAGGTATGAGACACAAGGTATGAGACACAAGGTATGGGACACAAGGTATGGGACACAAGGTATGAGACACAAGGTATGAGACACACGGTATGGGACACAAGGTATGAGACACAAGGTATGAGACACAAGGTATAGGACACAAGGTATGGGACACAAGGTTCACATTGGGGACAAGATTTTCAGAGCGAGATCTTTCAGCACCAAACTTTGTGGCGACACGACAATATGAGCCTCGTCCAGATGTCGTTGACATTCACATTGTAACAACTTATTATGAGGCAGAAAATAACACCTCATAACTTTTCATGACGGTAATAACGTAACTAAACCACACAGGCAAACATACGAGGCTTTCCATTAACTTTTCCATGATATTAAAAAAGTTCATTGGGCTTATATTTATTTTTCAACAAGAGAAGTGGGAGAACTTACAAGGCCTTCAACCTATTCCGGCTGCAGGCCACATTCTGCCATGCCAGTCCACTTGTGCCGGCACTCAGCCCGGCCACTTCACTAAGTCCAAAAAAAAAAGTAGACGACCGGGTGGTGGAGGCCTGTGAGAAGAGCCTAGCGCCACCACACGTCCCGCCTTGCCCGCGTCTGCAGGCACACTGACTGCTGCTGACGGTTGACCCACTACCACCCACCACCTCCCCCCAAACCCCCTCCTACCCCTCATTCTCAAACTCCTCATATCGGCTCTCTCATTAATCCCTCTCGCTCAATCTGTCACTTACCTATCTCACTATCGCATAAATTCATACCGTCGTTACCCCCCTCCCCCCCGCCGCCTCCCGCCGAAGACGACTGCAAGGCTGTGACAAGAAGCGGGTAGACAGGCTGGCGACGCCAGCGAAGCCTCGTGTGGGCGTAAAAGTTATGGCGCTACCTCGTGTGCGCTCAGTCTGGACTCGCTAGACTGACTCTAAATACTAGCCTAATTTATACATTGTTTCGGGGGGAAGATACAGCTTGCTGAAGGAGATGGGGAATGGGTGTACTTACAGCCAGCTCTCAGCCTCCGGCAGACATCTTGGCGACAGAGGAAGCGAGTGTAATGATTCTGTAGCTGTGAGCACAATTGCTGCCCTGAACTAGTCACGTTTTATTGTCCATCTGCCTCACAAACCCATCATCTCTGGCAGTATTTTCCGCCAAAACTATCCGGCTGGAATCCCAAGATGGCGTCAGCATGACTGTGGTGTCCCAGCATCAACACTCCGTCCTCTCGCCCTGTGCGTCGTCGACGTTTTGCTTTAGAGTCGACAAATTAAATATGCGACGTATTGCCACAAAAATTCAGCACCGTGTTATTGACGTTTTCTATGCCTCCTATTTCGGCCTCGAAAAATGTGGTGGATTGGGTGGGTTTCCGTGACAGTTTATGAGTCAGAACCCAAATTCTCGACGCCTTAAACTTTATTAATTTGACTCATGAAACAGTTTCCGAGGAATGGCTTCATTAAGAACAAGAATAGTTTACTTGACAGCATTCCAGCCTCAAGACTTGACAACTCCCCACCTGTGTAGTCACCTATATGTGCCTGCAGGCTCAAGCGTTAGCTCTTGGACCCCGCTTTTCCATCCGCTGATTGTCTAATGCAATGACTCCTGACCTATTTCCCTATCATATTTACTTTTAAATTATGAATGAAGTTTGACTCTGAATATGTCTCTCAATCCTGATAAAACTTTTCACTATATTCCCCCTTGGAAAGATGTGCAGGTCTCTGTATATTATACGCCCATCAGTTTAAAACAAGTCTATAACACAAACTATGAGATGTATAACACTAGAAGCTATTGACAGTCATCTTCAAAATCTCAGATCAACTGAATCCTATGCGTTTATTGATGGTTCTGTACAATTGGGCACTGGTAGAACAGGTTGTGCATGTTCAGTATATAAAGGGAATGAAATGATCATGACTAGTACACAGAGATTGAACAACTGGGCAAGCACGACACAGACCGAGCTATTGGGTATTTATCTAGCCACTGAGTACCTTAAGCTCAATAGTGGTGGAGTGATATTCTATGACTCTAAAAGTGCTCTGCAGTCCTTAAATAACCCATCACAATGTATGTCTGAAGTCGCTTGTAATAATAAATGGAATGGAAATTTTGCCAATGATAATAACTCTTGTATAAAACTTGTGTGGATCCCATCCCATGTTGGAGTTGGGAAACATGACTTTGTAGATCGATTGGCCAATGAGGCTTGCAGGAAAGAAAACATTGATTATGACTTTGGAGTATCTAATGCAATTATTAGAAACATACAAATTAAAGAAATTACTTCAGGGTTTAGAAGAACTAAGAAATGCCCAGAGACCTGAAAGCTGCAGTATTAAAAGCTATAACAACTTGTGTAATAATAGTAATAATAACAGTAACCGGACCTGGCAATGTGATGTAGTCACTGTAATAATTTGCCTTGGCTATAGACACATCTGGCAGGTTACTTAGGTTGAGCCACTACCAGAATATTCAGATTGTAAACTCTGTGACAAATCTTTAAGGCATTCACTTGAATACTATATTGTTGAATGTGAAACCGTAAAGGACTTTAGACCTCCTGGCCTATTATACCACCAACTGTGCAACTATTTCATTGAATCTGGTGTACTGGACGACATCCTAACAATTTATCCAAAATTTGCTTGTCCATTTTAAAGAATGAAGAACAATTTTATTTGTTATATTTTTAAGTTGCATCTCTTATGAACCCATCCCTGCCCTTGTGTGGCAGTGCACAATAAAAATTTGTATTTACATATTCGTACAATGAAACATGTATAGTCTAATGTAGTTGATTGTAACCATGATATATATATATATATATATATATATATATATATATATATATATATATATATATATATATATATATATATATGTTGTACCTAGTAGCCAGAACGCAGTACTTGGCCTACTATGCAAGGCCCGATTTGCCTAATAAGCCAAGTTTTCCTGAATCTACATATTTTTCGATTTTTTTCTTATGAAATGATAAAGCTATTCATTTCATTATATATGAGTTCATTTTTTGAAATTTGAGTCAAAACTAACGTAGATATATGACCGAACCTAACCAACCCTACCTAACCTAACCTAACCTATCTTAACCTAACCTAAACTAACATAACTACGTCATTAATTTATGTTCTTTATATAATATAATAATAATAATAATAATAATAATAATAATTAAAATAAACCAATTGGAAACAATTTATTGGAAATAAAGAAAATCACTCGGCTTATTAGGCAAATCGGGGCCTTGCATAGTAGGTAGAGTAGTGCGTTCTGACTACTAGGTACGACATATGTTTATATATATATATATATATATATATATATATATATATATATATATATATATATATATATATATTATTAAATATGACCGAAAAAGTAAGATTAATAATTCTAACACGAATTTTCTCAATCTTTCGTACATTACGCTTCACTGTTGGAGGTAAATCAAAAATCACTTCTCCAAAATTCATTTTTATTTCTAGTCTGACGCGACATGGGCGCGTTTCGTAAAACTTATTACATTTTCAAAGACTTCACAAATACACAACTGATTAGAACTTACGTATCTCTGATTTTATATCTACATTTGAGTGAGGTGGGAGGGGTGATGTGGCATTAACACAAGACAGAACAAGAGGGGATATTAATAGGGTATTAAAAGTATCAACACAAGACAGAACAGAAACAATGGGTATTGAATAGAAGTGTTTGTAGAAAGCCTATTGGTCCATATTTCTTGATGCTTCTATATTGGAGCGGAGTCTTGAGGTGGGTAGAATATAGTTGTGCAATAATTGGCTGTTGATTGCTGGTGTTGACTTCTTGATGTGTAGTGCCTCGCAAACGTCAAGCCGCCTGCTATCGCTGTATCTATCGATGATTTCTGTGTTGTTTACTAGGATTTCTCTGGCGATGGTTTGGTTATGGGAAGAGATTATATGTTCCTTAATGGAGCCCTGTTGCTTATGCATCGTTAAACGCCTAGAAAGAGATGTTGTTGTCTTGCCTATATACTGGGTTTTTTGGAGCTTACAGTCCCCAAGTGGGCATTTGAAGGCATAGACGACGTTAGTCTCTTTTAAAGCGTTCTGTTTTGTGTCTGGAGAGTTTCTCATGAGTAGGCTGGCCGTTTTTCTGGTTTTATAGTAAATCGTCAGTTGTATCCTCTGATTTTTGTCTGTAGGGATAACGTTTCTATTAACAATATCTTTCAGGACCCTTTCCTCCGTTTTATGAGCTGTGGAAAAGAAGTTCCTGTAAAATAGTCTAATAGGGGGTATAGGTGTTGTGTTAGTTGTCTCTTCAGAGGTTGCATGGCTTTTCACTTTCCTTCTTATGATGTCTTCGATGAAACCATTGGAGAAGCCGTTATTGACTAGGACCTGCCTTACCCTACAGAGTTCTTCGTCGACTTGCTTCCATTCTGAGCTGTGGCTGAGAGCACGGTCGACGTATGCGTTAACAACACTCCTCTTGTACCTGTCAGGGCAGTCGCTGTTGGCATTTAGGCACATTCCTATGTTTGTTTCCTTAGTGTAGACTGCAGTGTGGAAACCTCCGCCCTTTTCCATGACTGTTACATCTAGAAAAGGCAGCTTCCCATCCTTTTCCGTCTCGTAAGTGAAACGCAGCACGGAACTCTGCTCAAATGCCTCCTTCAGCTCCTGCAGATGTCTGACATCAGGTACCTGTGTAAAAATGTCGTCAACATACCTGCAGTATATGGCCGGTTTCAAGTTCATGTCGACTAAGACTTTTTGCTCGATGGTACCCATGTAGAAGTTTGCAAACAGGACACCTAGGGGAGAACCCATGGCGACCCCATCTACTTGCTTATACATGTGCCCATCCGGGCTCAAGAAGGGTGCCTCTTTAGTACAAGCTTGGAGTAGTTTCCTCAGAATACTTTCTGGCATGTCAAGAGGAGTACAGGCTGGATCACGATACACTCTGTCGGCTATCATTCCGATTGTCTCGTCCACAGGTACGTTGGTAAACAGCGATTCTACGTCCAACGAGGCTCTTATCCCTGTGGCCCGTGTGCCCCGCAGTAAGTCCACAAATTCCTTTGGAGACTTCAGGCTGAAGGCGCAAGGAACATAAGGAGTCAGCAGGCCGTTGAGTCGCTTTGCCAGTCTGTACGTGGGTGTGGGTATCTGGCTAATGATTGGCCGAAGTGGGTTTCCAGGCTTGTGCGTCTTGACATTTCCATACGCATATCCAAGTTTATATTCCCCAATAATTTTTGGCAGGTGGAGTCCTGATTTCTTGGCATTCACAGTTTCGATCAGTTTGTTGACCTTTGCTTTCAATTCGGCTGTAGTGTCCTTCGTTACCCTTTGGAATTTAGTTTGGTCAATGAATGACCAAATAAAAATGAATTTTGGAGAATTGATTTTTGAATTACCACCAGCAGTGAAAAGAAATGTACGAAAGATTGAGAAAATTCGTGTTAGAATTATTAATCTTACTTTTTCGGTCATATTTAATAATATATATATATATATATATATATATATATATATATATATATATATATATATATATATATAT